GGGGGGGAGGGTATCTGTATTAGTGAAAAATAAACATGTCACGTAGACTGATACTACAATGACAAGTGTCATGGGAGATAAAACGACAAGAAGAATGACGTGTACAGGAGTTATGAGCAACACTCATGGAATCGCTTGTGCAGATATCGTACCTGTAGGTCTCAAGGTTGAATATAAAAGATAGTTACGAGGTTGATAATTAATATCAGTAGTAGCCACGGATGTGGAAAGGTCATTAATGGTTACGAATATGGAAAGAATCAGTCAAATTTTTAATTACGCTTAATTTACTATTATTGCCTCAACCGTTACAAATCACTCACGTAACGAGCAATTAATGCAGTAAATAGCAGTAATTGGCAGAAGCTAAAAAATACAAACGATTACAAAAAAAAAGGTACTATTTAAACCCCCTCCCTCCTTCTCATATCTTGTATCCCATCAAAAATTTTGCTAAATTATACTGTCAATTACTAAAATTCTTATTGATCTCTATTATTAGAAAAATTGTTCTTTCCTACCGGGAGAAAGTGACAATCATCATTAAGTTTTCTACTTCTTTATTCTCTTAGTTCACTTCTTTATTATTATTATTATTATTATTATTATTATTATTATTATTATTATTATTATTATTATTATTATTATTATTATTATTATTATTATTATTATTTTATAACAATTATATTTGAAAAAGTAAAGTAAATTGGTTGTTAAAACCCCGAATTATTCTATTTATTTGCTTTGACTTCAAACACTATTTTTGGATTAAACATGGTCAAAATTTATGTAGTTTGACTCTCAAATTTGTGAAATCTAATTCGATTACTATGTGAAATAAGTGCACCTATAAGGAAAACTAATTAACAGCTTGCCACAACTGAAATCAATGACATAAAAAAAGAAACAAATTTAATTCATTTAAAAGCATTCCTAAAAAGAAAAAGAAATAAATGAGAAATAGAGAAAGACAAAAGACCAGCAAAAAAAACTAGACTAAGTGAAAGATGGTGACTATATACGTCAATAACTGCATTACTCCAACGATCCAAAATCATAAGCTAAACATTAGCCCCACTACCGCTACGCTTCCTTGCACACAATTCTTTCTAAAATAAAAAATAAATTAATAATACTCGAATCAATTTATATGCTTCNATATATATATAGATATATTGTCAGTATAGAATACATCGGCAATCTCAAACAAACGTGCATATTCATTTAGACGCTTAAATTAAGGCATGTTTCAATTGAGCATATGATAAAGTGTTTCTACTAAATATTTTTGATGTTCAAACCTTTTAAAAGCTTTTGTGTGCCTATGCTATCAAATCCCTATTAAGTAGATAAGTTAACCGCTTAAAATATATTTAATTACATGTATTATATATAAGCCTTTATTATAACAAACAAAAATAAGACCCTAAAGAAAACCAAATTAATTGAAAACAAGACCTTTCCGTTAAACAAAAGACCGACTCCGTTTAAAAAAAAAAGATAATCAAGAGCCATTGTTTCAAAATCTTTCCGAGACAAGAAAACCAAATATCTGATAGGTATATTTTACAATGTGTTCAGGTGCTCAATTAGAAAAGACCTTAATTTAATTGCCTAAAATAAAATATGATGATAAATTTAAGTGGCTACTAATGTATTCTACAATAATTTTTACATTATTTGTAAATCTTGTTTGTCATAGTAAGTTACTTATAATTTATTTACAAAATTATTATTACTTATTATAAATAATATGATATAGTAAATATTTATAGTGCATGAAAGTCTTGAACATGGAGATTTTTTGTTATTAACAAAACATATCCACTAATTTTGCATAGGAAAATAGGAAAAAATAATTAAACCAGATTCTAAAATTGTACTTTCACTACTTTGATTGCTGGGTCCACAATTCCCTCCTATATAGCCGAAACACCAAACTCATACGCCCCTCCCTCCGTTCTTCCTTATTGACCACTGTCTCTCTCTCTCTCTCTCTCAAGAAGTTTCCCTCATAGCCATGTCTGACGTTGAGTCCACCACAGCAGCGGAGAACCCTATCCTCCGCCGCCGCAACTTCGTTATACTTCCTAAAAAGCTCACCTTACAGCATCAAACATCAGCTTCAACCACCATCACTACCACCGCCACGTCATCTTCATCGGCTTCGTCATCGTTGACGAACTCGGCGAGCGATGATTTTGAGCTATTCTCTATTAAGCCTGTATCCTACACTTCTCTGAGGGATATCCTGCCACCTCTCGCCTTCAATTCTCCCAGGCCTATGACTTCACCTCACCAAGGCCAATCCGGTTCCGAGATTTCAATCCGGAATCGCCTCGTGAAGCAAGCAGCTTGGGCTTATCTCCAGCCGATGTCGACTTCACCGGATTCCTCCGGCCGGGGCTTATTCGGCCGCCTCTTTTTCTTCCCGGTCAATAACCCCGTCGCCGGAATTCTTGACTTCATTGATCGGTACATTTTTGCTCCCTTGACTAAAGCTGTTGATTGGCTTCTTCGTGCTGTTCGGGTTCGGAGCTCCAGATAACGACAAAAACAACGGTTGTTAGGGTGACCCGACCCGATATACAGAATATATTCTTCCGTTTTGGATTTGTCAACTTCTAGTTTGAAAATTGGGGTCATAAATGTACAACGCCTTTCATTTTCTCATGTAATTCCAGAAAAACTGAAAAAAAGAAAAAAAAATACAAAACAAATGGAGCAGGAAAAACGTTCAATAAAAAAATATTTAAAATCTGAGTTTTACTTCTTTTTTTTCTTTTTGGTTTATTTACAATGTACAATTTTCTTACTTACTACTATTTCTAGTAAACTATCTGCGGCTATATTTGGGCCGGGCAGCATGGTCCGAACCGGGTTCAAAATAGTCTGTGTCTAGGAATGAAAGATCCTCCGGGTGCACTTGGACCGTTTCCGGTTTAGAAGGATGAAAAGTTGACCGGTGAGCGTAGTAAGACGGCGGCGATTGAGGTGGCTGCTTCCGTGGCGATGGTGGTGGCTGCCTCCTGTCTGACGGCGGCTTGTTCCTCCTGAATAAGCTGAAGGAGAATGATGACGGTGGTGCTGGTGGGGCCGAAGGAGGTGGCGCTCCGCGAGAATGGTCAGTCCCATTTCTTTGCTGCGAGAATTGATCAACAAAATTAAAATTATGAATTTATATATACAAGTCTAAAATATCAAAAAGAAGTAACGAGGAAATAGATGATGGTGATAGTGGGAAATAAAGTGGTAATTAAAGAAATGGTGAGTAATGATTCGGTGATTAATTTGTTGCTATTCATTGATTTGTATGATTGTTTGTCTTGGTGTTGATGGATGCGAAAAAATGGTGAGCGAATAAACCAGAATTCCTAGAATTAAAAAGGTTTTCTATTGAACGAGTGTAATATTCGTTTGGGGCATTTTGGTTAATTGGTGAATAGAGAATATGTCACGATATATGAAACGTGTAAAAGATTATCTCTCCATATTAATAAGTCTACAAAATGGATTTTTATTCCAAACGATGGTTCGTAGTAATTTAATCTGAAGATTCGTTCGGAAATAAGCGATTAAGTTTTGAAGTCCTTTTATTTTACAATCAACCTAGAGTTTTGTTGTCACATACATAATGTTTCGTTTTATTTCACATTTTAAATCAATGTGTCAATCCGTAATTTTTACGCGGTTGAACAAATGTTTTCACTTTATAATTTTGATTAGATATGACTTTTGGCGCTTGAAAGTCAAAGACTTATTTTTCTAGAAAAATCTTTTACTGTTCAGTTTGATACTATGAATTTATAATTCGCTTAAAAACTCATTTTTATCAACATCTAATTTAAAATATTAAGACTTATTCGAACCTAGTCATTAGTCACTAACCATATTAAAACTTGTGAAGATCATGAATTATCACATCATCAAGAACAAACTTGTTCAGTATCACAAAGGATTCTAGTCTAGTGGTATTAATAGACGTCTCTCACAAAATATAGCTATGTCATTCCTATTATTCCCTTCCCTTCTTACTGTCCGAATTCCCCGCTGTAACGGGAAAAAATATGATAATAATAAAGAAAATTTGTTCAGCGCTTTACCGCGCCGGTGAAATTATCATTCAATCGTTTGATCAAGCCTCTCCTGTTCCTGCCCCTTCTAGCTACTTCTTATTTCTCCCGGCCTCCACATGTGCTGTTTTTTATTTATTTACTTATTGCTTTTCTTCCTTTTCTGCTCTTTCATTTTCATTACACTTTTTACCTGCCTCATTCCTACGACTTTCACATAATTTCATACTTCCTATGGTTCAAGTGCAGTGCAAGTAGGGACTGATCTAACCTTAAGGGTTTCTATGAATCCAATAGTTTTGCTCAAATTTTATATTTATATTAAGAAATTCACTGAATACTACAATAATAACAACAACAACGACAACAAGTCCAGTGTAATTTTACATGTGGGGTCTGGAAAAGGTAGTGTGACACATACCTTACCCCTACCTTGTGGAGGTAGAGAGACTGTTTCTGATAAACTATCGACTCAAGGAACAGTAAAAATAAAGTGACAAAAAGTAGCAACAATAACATAATAGGAACAAATGGCACAACATGTAATATAAAGAACCAGGAATAAGAAAAAAACACAAAAAATAGTACTAGTACTGCTTAAGGCTAAGGGACAAACGATTACTGTCAACCTTCCACCCTAATTCTCGACCTCCATCTTACTCTATTGAGGGTCATATCCTTGGTAAGAAATTCATCAAATATCTATAAATATTTGACTATGAACCCTATTATATATAATTCGAGTTCCTGTAAGAATTCATAATTTTCAAATCCTGAATTGTCCTACGAGCGCAAACGCTAGTTCCTACGGATGTAGATTTCAAGAACGGGTTTAAACGAACTCATTTCGTGACATGGTAATAATACCAAAATTGATTATACCAATGAAGATGATTATGAGAATCCAAAATGATTAATAGGAAGATCAAATTTGTTAGTGTCAAAATGGGCAATAATTCTTGCTTCATGGAGATGAGATGAACAAAAAATATTGTCTCAAAAAAGCAAACGCGACATACGAGGGAAGTCAAAAAGTATGGAGCTAAGTTGGTTCACTTTGAAACATCGTGGCCCAAGATTCAAAAGGAAGTTGGACCGGCCCAATATGATCTCATCGGCTGGCCAGGGTATATTCTGATCCACAATAAGACCTAGCTAATGGACTTCTTGGAGTCCAGTACGGGATTTGTTCACTGCCTTTCTTTACTCTTATCTCAGTTTGTTTTCCTTTTTTCTATTGGTGCCATTCTCGCCCTTGGGACGGAATATTAAAGAAAACCCTTATTCCACATAGTGTTTGCACCAAATAAAGCAAGATTAAACCTTAAAAATTATAAACTAAAGTGGGAATACATATAAATGTGTGTATAAACTTGCATCATTGGTTTGGTTAAAATACTGAGTGCGGATACTAATTTTACGGATGTCATTGCCTCTTATCTTTTTACTTTCTTAGTCCTTTATAGTATCTCATAATCTAGATTTTGAGTTAATTAAAATGGTCCACTTGAAGGGCTTTAAAAAAAAACTAATCTACAGTCGAAAAATTCACCAGATAAAGAAAATATGATCATCAAGCATTTAAATGGTTAGATGGAAGTAGACAGTATGAGAGAAGTACCTCAGAGCTGAAATGTGAAGTTGTTCTAGAGGGAGCAGCTATAAAATCAAGCAACTGAAAGAATTTTGCTTGCCCCAATTCAGTGCAATTGTGCCAGTAGTAAATAGCCAAGTCAAATGCCCTGGCTCTGAACTCTAGAAAACCCCTGTCAATGTCTGGTTCATGCTTTGACACAAATGGCTTCAACAAGGCATCATATATGTATCCTGTACCCTTTGTTTTTGGATACCATAAGTAGATGATTAGTGCCAACTTTGCCTCACTGTACATTGGTAGCCTGAAATAACAACATAAATAAATGATTGTATACAACAAAGACTTATAGTAGTTTATTGGTACCGGCCGAAGTCTTCCTTCCACATAAAAAGTGTGACTTTGATCATGTGGAAGTTCTAAAAGTTATTGAGTTCATACCATGCCATGAATACATCGCCAAAGCTCTCAATAATTCTCAACACTGCAACAATGATCCTGATAGAAGACACAGTTTGCAACTAATCAAGATTTAATTGGAGATCATCAAGTCAAATGAACAAGTAGATGAAGAACAGTTCACCTATAACCTTATTCAAATTGATGGATAGTGACCTATCAGGGATAAAAATTACAGGAAAGCATGTAGCAAAATTTTCCACCTAACCCCAACAAACTCCACCTCTCTAATGTATCTTTTCCTATTTTTCAAAGAATGGATCCTACCAGTAGAAATGCATCAGGTCAAGAAACGAATCAACTTCCAACAGACAAATTGTATGTACCATTTAGTTACTAGACTAGAACTAGAATATCATAGTGCTTTTTTTGGGGGGAAATAAGCACTCTTGCCGTGGAGTCTACTTGTCATTTTCATAAGGGAAGTTGTAAATTGCTAACTACTCTTATCTCAATTATGGACTAGTTAAATATTCTTTTATCAATGTTTTGCTTTTCGGCTCTTAAGAACAAACTATTGGTTATGATTGGTTGACCTAAAGTTTNTCAATAGTCTTAAAACATTCAAAAGCAGGGTATGCATATCCAAGAACCAATCTGCAAAATTTCAAAAGGCAAAGTTAAATTCATTCATCCACAAGTCAGTCAAAAAATGCACGAAACCCCACATACAAAACAATAACAACAAAAAGCATAAAGCCAAAAAATCCAACAGAAGGAATCAAAGCAATAGTAAGATAAAGAAGAAGAAGACAAAAACAGATCAACATACACTAAACTGCTGGTGATGAATTCTCCCAACATCTTTCTTCAAAATGCCTAAAAACAACACAAATACTCACCCATTAGCAACAAATTCTCAAAAATATAACATATAATTTGAATCTTGAACAAACTAAAAAAGAAAATGAACTTGCTGAACTTGAAAAGGAACCTTGAAATGGGAGAAGCTAAAGAACCAAAAAAAACTTGGGATCTATGTGAGAAATGATTCAAAGGGATTTGAAGAACTGCAGTGAAATTTGTGAATAAAAAATTGAATGGGAATTAAAATATGGCATAAATATTATGGAGAAGAAGATAATGGTGCGGAGATTCTACAAAAGGAAAGGAGAATATAGTTACGTTTGTGCAAAGAAAGGATCTCAAATTCTGGGGAAAAGATATAACTGAAGAGAGGAAAAAAAGAAGAAGTAATAATGGGGGGAAACGTGAAAGGAAAGGAAGAAGGGAGAAACAAGTTCGTCGTATGATTATTATAGGAACGTGCAAGCTTCTATATATATATATATATACACATATATATATCTTATCTATTGGGGTGGGTGGGGTAAGGGG